AATTATAGATTTTTCTTTTATGCCAAAAATCATTAGGATATTATATAAAGATTTTTGATTAGTAATATGCATGGCCAAGAACTTCATTTGGACAACTTTAATTTTCGATTTTCTCAATATTTTTTATTTTTTTACACCCTCAGATTCCAGATATTCAAATAGTTGTATCTCGACCACATATTGTCCGATCCTAACAAAGTACAAGAAAATATCTGAGTTACTTGACCCCATGTTGAGAGAAATCAGGAGTAAGTGCAGAGGCGTTACGTGCGCTTTGTGAACATGATGTTGCTGTAGTTCTAGACTAAATGTAAACATGCATTTACTCCTCTCACTTGCACAAAAACAGATTCAGTATTCCTCAAAATGAATAAAAACACTGAAATGCAAACTCAGAATATGACGCAAACACAAATATTATTCATGCATTTAATCCCATTTTATTTGGTTTTGTGGTCCAGGGTCACACATATATGTGTGTATATATATATATACACGCACACCATTGAGAATATTGGCAATTGCAATATCTCAGCAGTGAAACATCTGGATCCGTTAGAGTAAAGAAAATGCAGGGAAAACATAAAATAATATCCCAATGTAGTCTTTTTTTTTTTCTTTTTTTTTTAGGAGGGGGGTTGAAATGTTTTTGTGAGCACATAGGCAGCATGTTTCACCTTTATAGTGCTTTCCATCAGTCTGGCCATCCACGCTGAGGCCGTGACATTTATAAAGACCTGAATGCTTCGGGTCAGAGCTCTGCTTTAACCACCTGCAGCGACTTCAGCCCCTCACAGACTTACACACTTCATGACACACAATGATTCTTTTCTGAACAAGATTGTTGCTGTAAAAGAGATGGGGATTGTGCAAATCTCAGCCCTCGTCCTGAAGGACAATCAGACACTGAAACTGTCAAATCAACCTAAAGTGATGCTTTTAAGGTTGTTTCTTGTATTCATATGATGTAGGACATGCTTTACTATTTGTCATAAAGTGGTTGTTTACAGAACGTGTGTGAGTGTTTTGTGCCAGATCTGTAAGCCATGTGTGAGCAGGCTATTGGAGAAAAAAATGTCTGTTTTAGATTTACCATCTTTAGCGTGTTTATAATGAAGGACTGAAATGATAGTGGATGGAGTAAAGCGCCGTTGTTAGGAGATCTGAGGAGTTGGTGTGAAAGCAGATGCCTGTAATCAAAAGCTAGATTTTCTCTAGCTCTGGATCATTTAGCATCACTCACTGACTGTTTGTATAGATTTGTTTGCTCGCTGAGGATTTATGAGCTAGTTTGGTTGTGGTTATGGCACAGTTGAGGATAAATTAAAGAGGTTTTTGTGCTGTTTATGGACGCTTCAAGCAAAGGTGAAGTTGATTTTGTGTCCTGTGTTGATAAGGAGAGAACAATATGCAAAAATAGCACTTTTTGGCTTTAACATTATGCAGTATGTTGCATATCTCTTTATTTGGCATGTAAATGTTTTAAAATACCTTTTTTAGCATAGCTTTCTATATAAATTTGTATATGTGCTACATCTCACTTTAATCATATACATACAGCACACTCACGTACTGAAATGCAAACTCAGAATATGACGCAAACACAAATATTATTCATGCATTTAATCCCATTTTATTAAACATTGTCTTTACTGCTGACATTCGATGATCCAGTTCAACCATACTAATAAACAAAAATAACTTTAGATAAAACATCTGTTTCATTTTTTGCTGCTGAAGAGTATTGAACCTTCTTCTCCTACGTCTTATTCTTCATGCAATCCAGAATAGCAGCACAGCTGAAATGTTGGTTTGAATTTACATTTCCTTCAGCCTGGCGCTTATTCATTACACTTTTGGTGTGAAAGGGCTTCTCTGGGCCAGCCCAGATGAGAAAAAGTTATGCAAAAGTACTCATTACTTTCCATAAAAAATAACACAATTAGTTACTTCTTTTTTAGGGAGTAACATAATATTGTATGCATTATTTTTAAAAGTATTAAGCCAACACTGTTCATAGCAAATCTCAACTGCTTAATAATTTGAGTCATTTGGCACCTAAGAAAAGTCTTTAATGAACTTCAGCTGTAGCAACAGATAAAACGAGAAAAGGAAAGTTTGTCAAGACTTGATTTGACTTGCAAGTTAAAGTCCGAAATCTGAAGATTATTTGAGACTTCATCCAGTTTGAGACTTTTGAAGAATGAGACTCTCATCCTAGGAAATCTTAAAGGGATAGTTCACCCAAAAATGAAAATTCTGTCATCATTTACTTACCCTTAAGTTGTTCCAAACCTGTATGAGTTCCTTTTTGTCTGCTGAACACAAAATAAGATATTTTGAAGAATGTTAGTAACCAAACACTTGACGGTAGCCATTGACTTATATTGTATTTTTTTCATTACTATGGAAGTCAACCGTTTGGTAGCCCACATGCTATCCCTTTAAACTTGATCTGTTTCCACAGATTGGTGGTGTTTTGCAGATGCTCAGGGTCAAGGGTCGGCGGCCTTTTTCCCTCATCTTCTGGGTCTGCCGGCATTATTCAGCGCACCAGCCCTGAACCAAGAGCAACCCCTCCTTCAGTCTCACGCAGCCAGACGCGCTCCGGTGAAAGGTGCTACATTACCTCTCATATACTCTGTGTGTATTTTTATTCCTAAAGGTAGTGAGCTGTTTACACAGACAGCATATTTAGACATCTTTGTGCTCCGAACATGAAGACTGATCCATTGTATAAGCAATATAAATGGCATTTGACCCAAATACCGAGGAAGCATTGCTTTTATCCTTTTAAAATATCGATCAAAAATATACTCATATTTCATTTAACACAGACAAGTATCTATGAAAATAATGTAAAAACTGTGACAAATATGTTATTAATAAATGTCAGGAAAATATCTTATTCTACTAAAATACAGCAGAACGCTACTCTTTTATTCAGACATATTCGGGTGTGGGGAAAACCAACCTCTGAATTTAGTACTTCAAATAAAATCAATGAAGTCATTATGCGTTATTTTTCCTGAAAATTAAGCACACATTATTTTGTGAAAATTTAGCCCCAAATTAGTGTTACTGCAATGCAAAAAAAGATATCATTCTTATTCCTATAAAGTGACATATTTAAATAACATTTAAATTTTGAATGTTTATGCATCACGGGAGTATTTGTTATGCAACCTTTAATTGTATCTGGATTTAAATAAAAAAAGTGAATTGTATCATTTTAAGTATTATGTATATTAATATAAAATTGTTTATATATACTGTATATATTTATATTTTTAACATTGATAATACTAACCATTTTTAATAACTGAGCATCAATAATAATTGAGGAGCAAAATTGAGCATATCCACAAATATAGGAAGCAGCACAACAGTTTTCAAAATTGATAATTATAGAAATGTTTCTTGAGCAGCAAATCAGTATATTAGAATGATTTCTGAAGATCATGTGACACTGAAGACTGGAGTAATGATACTGAAAATTCAGCTTTGATCACAGCAATAAATTAATAGAAAACCATTTTAAATTGCAATAATATTTCACAATATTATTGATTTTACTGTATTTTTGATCACATAAATGCATAAGAGACTTCATTAAAAACATTTAAAAATTGTGAACACTTTTGACACAATTTCTACATATTATATTCATATGATATATGTATATATTACTATATATTTATTACATTTCACTAGGGCTGGGTATCGTTCAAAAATGTTCGATATCGATACCGATACCTTGACTTCGATACTGGTTCCTGAACGATAATTTTTTCGATACCAATTTTATGAAATCAATTTTAACAAGATTACATTATCTAAAAAAAAAAAAACAGTTACACTTTACTTGAAGGGGTGTGCATAAGACTGACATGACACCTTCATAATCATGACATGACACCTACATAATCATGACATGACACATGTCATGAATATGAAGGTTTTTTATGCATGTTTATGACAACTGTCATTAAGGTCGGTGCCTAAAAAGTATCGAACTCAATACCCAGCCCTACATTTCACAGTATATGACGAGTACGTCTGCATTCAGATATTTACTGTGAAACAGTGTCTAGCCTCAGGACTGGAACAGCCTGCTGATGTTTACAGTGTTTACCTCACACTGTCACTTCGACATGTTAATAAACACATTTGAGATTTTATTTGATCTATTACATATAGATGGCATATATTTACACCTCTACTGTACTCGTGATGAAAACAATCCTCACTGATTTCACAGGAATCTCACATTCACTGTTTTTAGATGATTTGGAAAATGATCCTAAAGTTTAAAAGCTAGTGAGTTTCCTTGCTGTCTACTTATGTAAACAAAATGATCTGCTCATTCATTTTCAGTTTATTCACGTTTATAGTACAGAGTCATGCTGTAACTAAAGATGTGTTTGTTTCATACATGATATTTTCTGAAGCAGGACTGAATGGCTCCATCAATGGAAAGGCGAAATCAAGCTCAGCCTCCACACCCTCTCCAGTCCTCATTCCTCCAGATCAGACCAAGAACCTGAAAACCAGCCCCAAACCAGCACTAAACCAGCTAGAGGAGAAAACTAGACCCAAAACAAAAGACGAGGTAAAGACTCATTAAACATGACATTTAGTCATTATTTACTCACTCTCATGTCGTTATAATAAACCCGCATGTTGTTATATTTTCTAGTGGAACTCAAATGTGAGTCAGTTAATTAGTTGACTTGTGTATTGTAAATAAGAAAAGCATTGAAAGGGGGTTTAATGTTTTTCATACAGTATATATGCAGCATTCATATCAGTATGCGTTCTAAATGCTGCTGTTGACACTTTGTGTCAGAAAACATCATCCACCTTTTTTTGGGACTATTTTTAGTCTATGTCAGCTGGATGGGTGGCAGAAAGGGGTTGTTTGTGTAAACAAAGCGGCCGCTGCTGTCAACTGACATTGCTCTTCCTGACAGAAGCCGCATAGCAAAGTGCCAGACGTCTCCATCAACAGCGACAGCCAATCAGCATCCAGCTCTGACAGCTCGAGCGATGCTCTTAGCAGCTCTGACTCAGACGACCTGGAGGATGACGACGACGATGATGATGATCAGAGTGATGATAGTGTGGACTCAGAAAAGTGCAGAAAAGATCAGAAAGTTATCCGTAAGGTATGTGTGTCAAAATGGTTTTAATTAAAATAAAATATAAGTCTTAGACAGAAATTTGAAATGAAATAAAATAAGTTGAAATGCTAAAATGACAAACTGACTTACACACACATTGTAAATATTATAATAGTATGAACACAGATGAATGTTTTAATCTTTTTAAAATCTAGTTAACAAAAGATAAAAAATTGAATCTCTGTATTTAGGTTTATTTTTTTAAAGCAACTTATTTAATGTTTATACCATTTTAACCTTTTATATCATAGAAAATATGGTAGTATGCTATTCTAAATGTAGCCTTTGATTGGGTGGATATTATTTTTTTAAATGTTATCGTGAAATGTATTATTATTATTATATATTATTATTACTACTACTAATACTACTAAAATATACAAACAAATAATAATAATAATAATAATGAAAAGATTACAAATATTAATAGTATTAAATAATCCACATTAAAAGTAATGCAATATTTAAAAAACTGTTGAACAAAGCTGTTACATTATTTTATGTTAGTATAATTTGTAATTCTGCTTACTCAGGAGGAAATGCACACAGACAGGAAGAAGAGCCATCACACTGTAGGACAGGATAAGCTGGATGTCCAGGGTTTGCTTTTGTCCCAGCTGCCTATTCACATCCAGTCCTTCAGGCCGACAGAGGAGCCCAGCAAACAGGCCAGTGTCATCCAGGCCACAGGTCTAGCATCCAGCGCAAAACCGCTTGCACTAGTCATGCAGCGACGCAGGGACAGCGACGCACCGTCCCCTACAGACCTGCCCGTCTCCCACTCATCCTCTCCAAAGCCACCTTCCCTCACCCCGTCACCCAAGTCTTTGTCTCTGACTTCCTCTCCCACACCGCCCTACTCCAAATCCACCCGTCTGAAGACGTGCAAGAATGACCTCGACCAGACCCTGCTCACCATTAACAACTTCAGCAAACTCAAACAGGTGACTTTCTCTGAAACACAACCAGATAAAAAGCATGCATGCATGCGCACATGATATTTGCTGATCAGTGTTGAGGAAGAACCTCGTTTCTGAAACTAAGCTACAGTTCAAACTTTTTTTTTTAATGTTTTTGAAAGAAGTCTCTTCTGTTCACCAAGGCAGACAAATTTTTATTTGACCCAAAAATTAAAAAAGTAAAAACATTACAAATTGTGAAATATTGTTACAATTTAAAATAACTTTTTTTTTTAATGTGAATATATTGTAAAATGTAATTTATTCCTGTGATCAAAGCTGAATTTTCAGCATCATTACTCCAGTCTTCAGTGTCACATGATCTTCAGAAATTTACATTTACATTTAGTCATTTAGCAGACGCTTTTATCCAAAGCGACTTACAATTGGGGGATACATAAAGCGATTCTTCTTAAGAGGCAAACAGACACAGGAAGTGGTTGTAATACCAAGTTCTTAGACATTGTTCAAATAAGTACAAGCTAGAAAGAGAAGGAATAAATAAAGAGAGAGAGTTATTTTTTATTTATTTTTTTTATTTTTTATGATGAAGTCAAGTAGCTTCGAAAGAGATGGGTTTTCAGCTGTCGCTTGAAAATTGTCAGGGATTCAGCATTCCGGATAGGGGTGGGAAGATCGTTCCACCAGCCAGGAGTGGTGAACGAGAATGTTCTGGTGAAAGCAGTTGTGCTGCTTCATATTTTTGAGGAGACGTGACACTTTTTTGAGGATTTAGAAGATAAAAATAAATCGGTAACACTTTACAATAAGGGTACATGAATAATCTTGTACTAATGTTAATGTTAATGCATTATTTAATATTTATGGGTAAACTAAATCAAACAGCCTCTTTAAGAAAGAATAAGAAATACTCTGGCTTTGAAATAAATTAAAAGAATTTAATATCATAATTTGAGCTTTTGACATCTTCAGCTTTATGAAGATCAGTTATTAGTGTATTTACAGTAGTATTTTCTACACTTGATGAGGAGGATCAACTAATCTTTTTCCACCCAGTAATGTTTATGGCAAAGCTGAAGATGTAAAAAGCTCAATTGTTTTTAACAACAGTTAAAAAAAAATTATAGTATTAAATTATTTTACTTTATTTCACAGTCAGAGTATTTCTTTTTCTTTCTTAAAGAGGCTGTTTGATTTAGTTTACCCATAAATATTAAATAATGCATTAACTATCAAACATATACTAACATGTAATAAAGCCTGCTGTTATTCATGCGTGAATCCATATGACTCCAGTTGTAGTTAAGGATAGCTCTTCATTAATTCATGATTAGTTAACAACTTTAATAATCATTAGTATTTGATGAATTAAGTATTAATCTAGGCATTAGTACATGATTATTCCTGTACCCTTATTGCAAAGTGTTACCAATAAATCTTATCATTTATCTTATATATTATTGAAGGAAATTATAACTTTTATTCAGCAAGGACACATTAAATTGATTAAAAGGGACAGTAAAGACTTTTGTAATATTTCAAATGCTTTGGACTCTAACATTGATGAAAAAATGTATCCCTGTTTCCACAAAAATATTAAACAGAAAAATCTATTTTTTCAACATAGATACTAATAATGACCTTAATTAATAATTGAGCACTGATAATAATAATAATTAAGCAGCAAATCAGCATATTAGTATGATTTCTGAAGAATCCTGTGACACTGAAGACTGCAGTAATGATGTTGAAAATTCAGCTTTGATCACAGGAATAAATTACATTTTAAAATATATTGAAATAGAGAACACTTATTTTGAATGGTAATATTATTTCACATTATTACTGTTTTGCTGTATTTTTTTAATCAGATAAATGCAGCTTTGGTGTGCACTTCTTTCAAAAACAAAAAAATCTTTCCAACGCCACATTTGATCAGTAGTGTATATTGTGCATTTTAAATTGACTGTTTTCATAATAAACAATCTTCTGCATTATAATAAAAACAATAAATTCTAAATTCAGTTTTGAATATATTAGTTGCATATTTGTTTCAATATTTGTGCATATGAAGAGGCAGCATTCATTTCAATGAGTCAGTGAATCACAATGAATAACAGATGAAGTAATAGCAATATCTCTGTCCCGTCAGTCATCTCTACCTCAGGCCTTTCCTCCACCATTGAGAGGTGCACAGGAATCACAGAGCAGCCAGAAACTTCCGTTCAACAGTCCGTTTCTCCCCTCACTTCCTACGGAGAACCACCATCCCAGCGCGGTGCAGGGCGCTCCTCTGGCCCTCATCACCAAACCTCGCTCCCAGAGCACACGCACCCCTGATAAACCACTGCTGGCTGCCACCAGCCCCGCCGCGTTCAACACTCCCATCAACCTCACCACCACGGGACGCACCTCTACCTCGCCCGCTCTGAAGAGAGAGAGACCATCATTGGTGGAGCACTTCAGTGGGGCGGAGTCTGAACTCCCTTACAGTAAAGACTCTGATGATTCGTTAATGGAGGACGAGGATGAAAATTATGCTTCAAATGACAGTCTCTCAGGTCAGCATGATGTAATCATTCAGATCAAATATTATTGTTTAACATTAGTTAATTACAATCAATTAACGATGAAATATACTAGCATTTATTAAATCTAGTTAATGTTAATATTTTCTAATCCATTATTAAAATTAAAATTAAGTTACGTTACACAAAAAAACATGAGAACATGTGATTTTAAAACTGTATTTAACAACAGTTTTTTTTTTTTCCACAACATTTTTCACAAACTGTAAACATAGAAGTGTGGAAAAGCATTTTTATTTTAGTGTCATTGATACACTGTTGTAGCTATAGTTTTAATTATGTTTTAATTATATTTTCTGTTTTCACTTTAATTTTAGTTAAAGTTTTTGTAATTTTGTTTTAATTTTGTCATTATTATTATTATTATTATTATTATTATTATTATTTTAAACATTTCTACATAGTTTTTATTCATTCAATTATTAATTAGTTTTAGTTTATTTAGTTTTAGTTATTTGACTACAAATTAAACTAAACAAAAAATTAGAAATGTTGCCTTGGGAACTAGCTCAAATTAAGTTTACTTTTTAAAAAGCGTGTAATTTTATATTTTTAATTCAGCTGATGTTTATTTTATTTCAACTAACACATTTTTTGTTGTTGTTGTTTTTAGTTTCAGTTAACTACAGTAACCCTGGATCATGAGTTTGATTCCCAATGAAATTGTATGCCACAAATGTATGCCATCAACGCAGTGAAAATGTCTTCAAATAAAAGCACCTTTCCAGTGCATAAATGTCTATGTAAAGTAGACATAACTATTTATGTCTCTATTTATTTATTTTTGGTTTTGTGCAGTTGCGTTTAATCCTGAACTTTGCAGGTTGACACAAAAACATATATACTGTATATGTTCGTGCATTTTGCAGCACATCAGAGTCCCAAAACTTTGCGTGCATGTTTATGATCCTAAATGAGTAAAAAGTCATGTGCAACAATAATAATGTGTATTTTTCACATTCATACATGAGCAAACACTCTCTCATATTGTTTTCTCTTCTGCAGACTCTGACAGCAATTTAGACACTGATTCTGATGATGATGATGATGATGATGGTAAAGATGAAGAGATGGACACAGATTCAGAAATGGACAGAACGCCACTCAAACTCACCAAATCCTCAGTGTCTATACTTGACTCCTCCCACAGCACTAGCCCCGCCCCTCTCAATCTACAGGTTCATAAAACACCTGCCACAACCACACCAGCCATTGTGACTGGGAATTCAGCCAATCACAGCCCAGCTTTGTCGTCTTACAGTGTGGTCACACCCCCAGGTATTTCAGCAATTGTTATGCATGTGTTTTTTACTATATTTAAATTAAATATGGTATCATATATATCGGCTTTATATTGGCCATACAACATCCTTATCAGTCGACCACTACATTTCTACTAAAACAGCAAGTGTATGTTTCTTGTGTTTATATATTTGCGTATCTGCTATGTTTCTAGGGAAAAGGAGAAGAGTAACAGATGAATGTGCACTGCGGAAACCTCTAGAAAATGGGCGAGTCTTGACTTTCCAGCTATTTCATGTTACCCTTATTGCCTTTTTTTGTGTTATCAAACATTTGCATGCATATTAATATCCTTTTAGGCCCAGAACATACACACGTTTTCTTCTAATTATGCAACTGTGTGTCAGAGCAATGCACTATACAGTCTTCTACAGTTTGAAGAGAATCTTTGAGAAAGTTAGTGATAGTCAGCATGATATTAGGTGCGTCTCAAATCGCGTACTTATGCACTATTCTATGACGTTTAGTAGTATAAATGGTGCGAGTAGTGCGTTCACACTGAAAATTCCAAAAAGAAAAAGTGCACTTTAAATACCCGGATGATGCACTTAAATAACCGAAAAAATGAAGTGTGGAATGTTGGACACTTCATGCACTCAATTGTCGCAGCTTTAATTACGTAGCGAAGGGGGAGGGGTTATGAGACTCCGATTATGAATGACAAAATAACGTTATATAATTCATACTATACATGGTTGAGTACATAGTGCATAAGTACACAATGTATGAGTGCATAGTGTATAGTGCGTCATTTGGGACGCAGTTATTGGCTTCCATTAACAAAAATGCATCTGGTTTAATGACACAGACGTTTGAAGGACACTCTATCGCCCCCTTAAGTACAGAGGTTTGTTATTGCATCAGTAATGCAAGAATACATATGAAGTGCATACAACAGGACTGAATAAAGGTGAAGTAGTGAGTAGTGCTATTTTAACTTTACGTTAGTTAACTTTTTTACTTGTTGCCAGGTATGCTAAAGTTACTAATAAAAAAACACAAAGCAGCCATCTGAGGGAGCAATATATTTATATATATAATCAGATTTATTTGGATTTTTAAAAAAAAATTTTTTAGCATATCGGTATTTATCTGGCATAAAAAACTATGAGATTCTGAAATGTATTGACAACTTTAGTTTAGTTGCAAAGCACATTTAAAAACAACAGAAGGTAGTATAAAACATACAATAATATAAATATTAGAATATTATTAATAATATATTTTTTTAAATGCATTTAAATAGTTATTTTCTTTAATTTTACATATTATTATTATCATTATATGATATTTAAATATTAAACTACATTTAATTGCTAAATTTCTGCTAAATGACACTAAAAGATATTAAAATACACTTAATATTCAATAGTATATTCATGAGAACAATCTTGAACTGAATTGAGCTGAATTGAATCAACACTGAACTGATTTGAGCTGAATAATAACACTCTTGTTTTCTGTAGAGCTGTTTTTTTAGTTAAATTAAGTTTCATAATTTGATGAACTTTGTACTATTATTTATCTAAACTGAATAAACACTGAACTGAATGTGACTTGATTTGACTAAATGCAACTAATAAAACCCCCTAATTTTTTTAACTGTGTTGAAAACAGTGATGGACAGCAGCATTTAAAGCTAAATGTCTTTGGAATAGAGAAAATAAAGAATGGTTGGACAAACTTGGCCAGTTTTAGTGGAAATCAGCCTACAAATGGCTTACTTACAGTTGTCTCATTTATACATGAATTCACTTTGAGTCTTGAGCATGAAATGAAATGAAAACTCTCTCTGTTCTCAGATGGCAGAGGGAGACGCGAATCAGGAACATGTCTGGGCGTTTGCGTGGAGAGGTGGCGTATTACACTCCATGCGGCAGAAAGCTCAGACAGTATGCTGATGTCATCAAGGCAAGAGATGATCACTTGAAAACTTGTGTTGCTGTTTAATGACTGATGCTTCTGCTGTTCTGTTGATCTTACGCTCTCACTCCTCACAGTATTTGACCAGAAACGGGATCAGCGACATTACACGTGATAATTTTAGCTTCAGTGCTAAAATAAAGGTTGGTGACTTCTATGAAGCCAGAGATGGACCGCAGGTAATTTCTTCAGTTGTACTGTTCTCTTATTCATGTCTGTCAAGTCAAACAGGCCCTGTATAGGCTGAATAAATGTGATTTAATTTGCTGTGGGGAAGTAACATTGTAGTGTATATCTGTGGTGTTAAAGTGTATTGATATTTTTGGTTTAAAATATTAAATGATTATTTAATAATAATAATGATGATAATTTTAGATATTATTATTATTATTGTTGTTATTATTATTATTGTTGTTGTTACTAATACTACTACTACTAATGATAATATAATAATAAAAAAATCATATAATAATATAAAAAAATCATAATTAAAAAATATAATTTTGTTTTACTAAAATTATTTATTTACTAAAAATGTTGTTGTGCAGTGTTAGTGTGTTTTGATTAAATTAAATATTAAATTATTTAATAAAATAACCCATTGAAGCCACAACAACAACAAATAATTTTAGATATTGTTATTATTATTATGCTGTTACTGCTACTCGTACTACTACTAATGATAATAATAATAATAAGAAGAAGAATTATGTTTTTACAAAAATTTGTATTTATTTACTAAACAATGTTCACTAAAACACTAACAATGTTAGTGTGTTTTGTTGAAATATTAAATGATCTAATAAAAACCCATTTAAGCAACTACAATAATAACTAATATTTTTTATATTATTATTATTATAAACTATTATTAATGTTACTACTTCTAGTAGTACTACTACTACTACTACTACTACTACTAGTTAATAATAATTATTATTATTATTTTACTTTTTGTGAAAAATAATAATTTATTCTCTAAACTGTTGTTGTCTTCTTCAGGGGTTACAGTGGTGCTTACTGAAGGAAGAGGAAGTGGTTCCTCGTATCTTAGTGATGGAAGGTCGTCGGGGTCATCTCAAGAATCTTGACCCCGCTCTCTCTCGCAGGAAAAGCAGAGCACCTGACGAGAGTGAAGCTGATGCTGTCAGCAGCTCTGAGGCCAAACTACTGCGCAGACTGGAGGCCCAGGGTACCAAAACAAGACACAAATGCACACGCTGTCTTATCTGTTTTAGCAAAGATGTGAAACTAAACCATTACACATTGGAATGAAGATTGTAGAGTGTTTTAAAAGATTTAGTTCACCCAAAATGACATTCTGTTTTTTTTTTATTTTGAAGAATCTTCACATTAGATGTTTTCATTTCTTCTCTGTACAAGGTTTCTGTAGGTCTTAAAAAGTATTAATTTGCTCTTTCACAAATGAAGAGTCTTAAATTGATAGTCATGGTGTTAAATGTCGCATGCACTGCCAAAACTATAATAAAAATAACTCGATATTTGAAAATAATTGAAAAATGTATCTTTGTCAGTATTTTTGCTTTGTTTTACAATAACATTTATAAACATCCTTAAATTTACTTGTAAAATGAAGACACAACATCTTGTTTTGAAATTATTTATTTACTAAAAATGTTGTTGTGCAGTGTTAGTGTGTTTTGATTAAATTAAATATTAAATTATTTAATAAAATAACCCATTGAAGCCACAACAACAACAAATAATTTTAGATATTGTTATTATTATTATGCTGTTACTGCTACTCGTACTACTACTAATGATAATAATAATAATAAGAAGAAGAATTATGTTTTTACAAAAATTTGTATTTATTTACTAAACAATGTTCACTAAAACACTAACAATGTTAGTGTGTTTTGTTGAAATATTAAATGATCTAATAAAAACCCATTTAAGCAACTACAATAATAACTAATATTTTTTATATTATTATTATTATAAACTATTATTAATGTTACTACTTCTAGTAGTACTACTACTACTACTACTACTACTACTAGTTAATAATAATTATTATTATTATTTTACTTTTTGTGAAAAATAATAATTTATTCTCTAAACTGTTGTTGTCTTCTTCAGGGGTTACAGTGGTGCTTACTGAAGGAAGAGGAAGTGGTTCCTCGTATCTTAGTGATGGAAGGTCGTCGGGGTCATCTCAAGAATCTTGACCCCGCTCTCTCTCGCAGGAAAAGCAGAGCACCTGACGAGAGTGAAGCTGATGCTGTCAGCAGCTCTGAGGCCAAACTACTGCGCAGACTGGAGGCCCAGGGTACCAAAACAAGACACAAATGCACACGCTGTCTTATCTGTTTTAGCAAAGATGTGAAACTAAACCATTACACATTGGAATGAAGATTGTAGAGTGTTTTAAAAGATTTAGTTCACCCAAAATGACATTCTGTTTTTTTTTTATTTTGAAGAATCTTCACATTAGATGTTTTCATTTCTTCTCTGTACAAGGTTTCTGTAGGTCTTAAAAAGTATTAATTTGCTCTTTCACAAATGAAGAGTCTTAAATTGATAGTCATGGTGTTAAATGTCGCATGCACTGCCAAAACTATAATAAAAATAACTCGATATTTGAAAATAATTGAAAAATGTATCTTTGTCAGTATTTTTGCTTTGTTTTACAATAACATTTATAAACATCCTTAAATTTACTTGTAAAATGAAGACACAACATCTTGTTTTGGTTTTTTTTTTGGGGGGGCGGATTGAACAAAATTAATTTTAAGTTTATGCTTAAACCGAAAGTAAATATCTGTCAATGGGGAATTAACTTGTTTTCCCTTTGAATTAACCGAAGCCCATTGGCAGATATTTGTCGGTTTTTATCATAAATTCACTTCTTTTTGATAACTTTCTCTTGCATTCATCTTGATTTAAGAATTGTAGACATTTGCACTGCAAAACAAGACAAAAATACTGAGGAAGAACAGCCATTTTGAGCAGTGTGTTTAGAAGCTACAGTAAAAGTTATTTCCATTTTCTCGTTAAGCTATTTGTTGGTAAAAAAGTAGGTGTATTTTCAAACTTTGAAGTGCTGCTAATGCAGCTCATTGTTTTCTCCTCAGACATTTACATTTAGAGAACATATTGATGTATTGTCAATGTTGCCTTCTATTTGTTCCTTAGTATATGAAACCATGATCCATGAAACCATGAAAAAAAAGTTGTTGTTTTTTCCTATTGGTGCTAAATGTATAATAAAATGTAAAAAGACTGTTTTTGTGAGTGCGGATCATGGTTTCATATACTAAGTCATTTAATCGATTGACGCATCAAGTGACAGAAGAGCGTGGTGCAAACGGCTTTGTGGAACTTCTATTTGTTCCCAAAATTCTTTAATCTGTTTTAAAAAGGTCTTAAATTTATCTTCATAAAACTTGCAGAAACTCTGTCAGTAATTGGACTTGCTGTACATTAAATGAGCTCTAAAGCTCTCGTGTATCTGTCAGAAATGGCGCGGCAGGCAGCTCAGATGAAGCTGATGCGTAAACTGGAGAAGCAGGCGCTGGCACGAGCGGCTAAAGAGGCCAGGAGACAGCAAGGTGAGCTGGAGTTTCATTTTGCTTTTGATTTCTAATACACTTGCTAAACCCGCTCACCATTTCCTATGAACTTTCAGCAATCATGGCGGCTGAAGAGCGGCGGAAACACAAGGAACAAATGAAGATTCTGAAGCAGCAGGTCAGAAATGTCCATGTTTTCTCATGACGTCTCCTGTTGACCTGTAGTTTGTGTTTGTGCATGCATTGCTGCTTTTGACACTTCAGATCAGCCTTTACCTTTATGGGTTTTTGCTTGTTGCTTCACGTTTCATCAGTGAAAACCCAGACCACAGCTCATTCTTTCTCATTCCTGCTTTCTTTCGCAGGAGAAGTTCAAGAGAATCCAGCAGGTCCGTTTGGAGAAGGAACTCCGTGCTCGGCAGATTTTGGAGGTACTTGTATGTCAAATTTCAAAGCTTATACACTGTACAGTGAAAATAATATGTGACCCTGGACCACAAAACCAGTCTTGTGTAAATTTTTCAAAATTGAGATTTACACTTCATCTGAAAGCATATACATAAATACATATATAAATGTACATACATAAATCAAAAAAATATTTATTTTTTTAACGTTTTATATTTTTTTTATATTTTATTTAAGCCTTAAATACAGTACAATTAAATACTTGAAAATAGTACAACAATAAATGATAAATTATATACATGCAAAAGTTTAATTTAAAAAAAATATTTGAAACGTAGCGGAAAGTGGTGGAAAAGCTGCCAACTTACCTTACTATTATTTTGAAGTGTGGGAAATGTTTTGTATAAATCAGTTTGAAAATAGTACACGTTAGTTTTGATGACTTTACTATTCTTTTTTTTACTATTATCACCCTTTTAATAAAAAAAAAAAATATGGAATCAAATATTATTAGAAGTCTGAAAAGTATTGAGATATAAGTTTATCACATCTTTAATTCATACTGTACTAAGCATTCAAATATTTACTGGTCAAGTTAAATAACTTACGTCAAATATTTTGTTACATTATAATAATGTATTCATTTATCTGTCAAATATGTTTATGCCAACAGGCTAAAAGAAAAAAGAAAGAAGAGGCTGAAAATGCCAAAATACTAGAAACTGAAAAACGAATAAAGGTTTGTTGTTTGTTGTCTTTTTTTGTAGCGTTTGATTTACTGAATTATTTACTATGAGCAGTTTATCTCAATTTCTGATTCACCGTCTCTCCTTGCTGTATATTACATATGTTTACTAAAAAACAATGAAACCAATAAGAGTAAAGTCAGACACTGGTACAGAAATACACCATGTGAGTGATTGGATTTGACAGATAACCGCAATAATTGTTACAATTGAGCTATTATTCAGGTGAAATATTTGATGATACATTGTGTGTTTTATATGGTTAGAAACATTATAGGAAGCAAAAAATATGCCCTAATAAAAAAATAAATAAAAAAAATCAGAAACTGGACTAGTGCACATTTTTATAACCATTTGGGTGTGTTTCTGTGAGAGATTGAGTGAGACCTGAGACAGCAGCGGTACTCCATTTCTCATTTTACATTAACACTCATGTGCCCCTCGACTATACGCCTGTCAGTCAAAACCCAGGCATTTCAATATACCATGGAAATAAGTGGAGAAAATCCTATCTGTTTGACATCCCTCCATCTGCATCTCTTTCTCTCTCCCATCTCAGTAATGGAAAGAAGGAAATATTTGCGGGTTTTAATTTATTTTTATCTCTGTCTGAAGGAGAAGGAGCTGCGCAGACAGCAGGCCATCATCCTGAAGCACCAGGTATGAGCAGATGTCTTCAAAAAACAGTATTTCACTGAATAATGCCTCAGGTCTCTGCTGCTTTTATTCTTTTATGTGATTACTTGAAAGAAATAGTTGAATTCTGTCATTATTGTTGTAAGAATGATCTTTTTTTGGCTCAGCTATTGCTCTAAATGTATTGTGGGTAATCGGTCTACTGGGGAGTTGCTCAATAAGGTTGTATGCATTGATTTATTTACTCATTTTTGTTCTTGCCTTTGCCAACTCTCACTGGCAGGAATTGGAGAGACATAGACTAGATATGGTATGGGTATGTTTACTTTTCTACATCTAACACATTGTGAAATGCTTGTGATTCGGGTGTTTTGCTCCGTGTTGCATGTGCAACTGACTGCTTTGACTGCGCTTGCATTTCTCCTGCATGACACCCTGCTGAAGGAGACAGAAATGGGCTCTTTTCTGAAACTTAGTGAGCTGCCAATGTGGGAAGCATTTTTAGGCATCGTAGGAGACAGTCCTTGTTTATAGAGAAAGCATTCCCATAATGCATTGCAAGAAGAATGCATTGAAAAATCCATCAAAGATGGCAGACAAAATGAGAGAAATTATAGTAAACTAAGTGAATTCTAAGTGAATATAATTCATACAGCTGTGTTGTTTTAGTATTATTTATATGCTATTTTAGTATTTATTGATATTTTGAATGGGCTTTTATTTGTATATTTCCCGTTTTAATTTTATTTTTTGTAATTTTATGTGAATTTTTATTATTTTGTATTTTATTATTATTTTTAAAATATTATTCATTTATTGTTTTTGTTTTAATATTTTAGTTTTCGAAATTTTTAGTACTCCAACTTCTAATTTTCATTTAAGTTTTTTCTCTGTGTGTGTGTGTGTGTGTGTGTCTCCCTTAAAAGGTGTGTGTGTGTGATTTAAGCAGCTGATTGTGTCATCAAAGATGGCAGACAAAATGAGAGAAATTATAGTAAACTAAGTGAATTCTAAGTGAATATAATTCATACAGCTGTGTTGTTTTAGTATTATTTATATGCTATTTTAGTATTTATTGATATTTTGAATGGGCTTTTATTTGTATATTTCCCGTTTTAATTTTATTTTTTGTAATTTTATGTGAATTTTTATTATTTTGTATTTTATTATTATTTTTAAAATATTATTAATTTATTGTTTTTGTTTTAATATTTTAGTTTTCGAAATTTTTAGTACTCCAACTTCTAATTTTCATTTAAGTTTTTTCTCTGTGTGTGTGTGTGTGTGTGTGTCTCCCTTAAAAGGCAGCTCACTGTTTTGGAACAGAGCTGGAATCTGTTAACAGATATCAGTCACAATATTTCCATCTGTGTCGGTGGAAACTTGATTGTCTACGCTGCTTCATATCATCAAGTCTTCGACGCAATATCATAAACATTCATTCTGATTCTTGCTTGTTTTTCATTTGCGTGGCGTCTAGTGTTTGTGATCTTTGAGATCATCCAGGCCCTGAAGTGTACATGTTATTTTTGATTTAAAACGGCAATAAAATAATTTCCTACAAAGCTTTAAAGTGTCTCTCAGCAGCTGAAACAGTTTTCCGATTGGATCATTGTTTATGTTTTAAAGTCTGAAGTCTTTAAAGTTTAAATATTGTTATACTGAAGGAGTTCAGAGATTTCTGTGGACTCGTTCACGTCTTCCTCGTCGTCTCCTGTCTGTCCTGCACTAAAGACCTGTAGAAACCTGATGGTTAATATGTAACACCTGGAATAACTCACACTTCATCAAGATGTTTAGGAAGTGGAGGACTGAGCCGCGCTGGTTAACAGATCTGTTTTAGTTCTGCAGACTCTCAGCTCTTAACCTGCTGAAGCTTCACTAAATCTTCATGCTTCTGCAATTTTGTCATTTTGCAGTATACAATACATGTGTTGTGATTTTGTTTTTGTTCTTTCTTTTATTCTGTCTAAATAATGCTTTATTTCATTCTTTGTTTTGTTTCTCTTCTTTTTTGTTTTGCTAATTGTTGCTTATTTAGTTTATTCTTTCATTTGTTTTTATTACGTGTTTTTTTCTTTTTTGTATTCATTCTGTCTTTTATTTTATTTTTCTGTTTGTTTTATTTTTTTATTTTTTCTTGCTTTGCTTGTTTTTTTTATTTGTTTTTCCTATTTTTTCTGTCTTTTGTTTTCAGTGTTTTCATTTTTCTTTCATAAATGTAATTCTTTCTTTCTTGTATTTGCTTTCTCTTTTCTGTTTTATTTTTGTGTTCTCTTGACATTGTTAAATTAATTCTTTTGTTTTTATTTTTTCATCCTATTATTTGTTTGTTTACTTTTTTTCATTTTATTTCTTCTTGCTTTCATACGGTTTTATTTTGTTTTTATTTATTTCTGTAATTCATTATGTTTGTTACTTTGCTCATTTGTTCTCTTCTTTTGTGTGTTCTTTCGTTCTCTCCTGTGTAGTTTTGTTTCATTCTCTCCGTTCTTTCTCTGATGTCTGATGTTTGTTGTAGGAGCGGGAGAGACGTCGGCAGCATGTGATGTTGATGAAGGCGATAGAGGCCAGGAAGAAAGCTGAGGTGTGTTATACAGCTCCTTTTATCATTTCATCATTCTCTTTTCCTCCTTTCATCTCTTATTCTCAGTCTCCTCATCTCTCTGTCCTCCTCAGATCCTTCATCCATTCAATCATATAGACTATGAATGAGTAGATCAGTCTTTTGGCACACAAGGTTTGTCAAATCTTCTTAAATGTTTCCGCAGGAGAAAGAGCGACTGAAACAGGAGAAACGAGATGAGAAACGACTGAACAAGGAGCGCAAACTGGAGCTCAGACGGCTGGAGCTGGAGATGGCCAAAGAGCTGAACAAACCTAATGAAGACATGTGTCTGTCAGACCATACGGTGAATCACAGCAGCCACTGAATCCTTCTTACACAGAACCAAATAAAAAGTGCATAATTTCTGCACAATTAGTGGCACCAAATGAAATTGCACAAATCTGACGTAGGGTTTTCCTGTATACTACCAACCAAATGTTTTGAATAATTACATGTCTTATTTTTTTTTGCTGCATTTGCTCAAAAATTCAGTAAAAACTGTAAAATTGTGAAATATTACATTTTAAAATAACTTTCTATGTGAATATATGTTAAAATCTAATTTACTCGTATGATCAAAGCTGAATTTTCAGCATCATTACTCCAGTCTTCACTGTCACATGATCTTCAGAAATCATTCTAATATGCTGATTTGCTGCTCAATAAACATTTCTGATTATCAATGTTGAAAACAGTTGTGCTGCTTCATATTTTTGTGGAAATCATGATACCTTTTTATTTCAACAGACATTAGTACTTTTGTTCATCAAGGATGTATTAAATTAATCAAAAGTGACAGTAAAGACATTTATAATGTTACAAAAGATTTCTGTTGTAAGCAGCAAAAAAGTTTTCAACATTGATAATAATAAAGAACCATTATCAGTAATTTAGCACCAATAATAATTAATCAATTCTAATCAGATGAAATTCAATCAGCATTATAGACTGATTTCTGAAGGATCATGTGACACTGAAGACTGGAGTAATGATGCTGAAAATTCAGCTTTGATCACAGCAATAAATTACATTTTAACATATATTCACATAGAAAGCAGTTATTTTAAATTGTAATAATATTTAAATATTTTTTACTGCAATTTTAATCAAATAAATGCTGCCTTGGTGAGCAGTAGAGACTTCTTTTAAAACATTTAAAAAAAACTTGATTATCCCAAACTTTTGACCGGCAGTGTATATGACAATCAAATATCCCAAAAATCACTCACCTAGCAACATAAGAACCACCAAGACTTAGTAGCAACCATCCAGAACACCATAGCAACCACAGACACATAATAGTCACATAACCATTCAATAGTAATCTGCTGTTCTTGAATGAATTCAGTGTGTACGTGTGTTTCTCTCCATGTGCAGCCTCTGCCAGCGCTGTCACGGATAGCGGGTCTGCTGTTGCCGGGAGGATGTTTCTCAGACTGTCTTATGGTCATGCAGTTCCTGCGCTGCTTTGGAAAGGTCCTGGGGTTTGACCTCAGCACTGACGTGCCGTCACTCAGCGTGCTGCAGGCAGGGCTTCTGAATGTGGGTGACAGCATGGGCTTCATCCAGGACCTGCTGGTGCGCATGCTGTCTGCTGCTGTTTGTGACCCAGGACTCCCTGCAGGACACAGGGTGAGACCCTGATAAATTGAACATTCACTTCAGTGGTATGAGATGGCTGGAAGCTTTCAACTGATTTCCTACTGATCTCTCACCAACTGAACTGTAGTGAGCAAACTTTGAGCTGCACTATTCTAGATAAACTGAAAATCACAATTTTGATCTCAAATAGAGATCACAGTTCTCCCACGATTCTGAACTAAACAAAATAATGTGACAAAATATTAATTGCTGCAGTCTATAAAAGTGTTTCATTAATTTGAATGAATTATTAAACATTTTAATATATATGTATTTAAAATGTAATATATTTAATACACAATATTATGAAAACGTGGTTTGAGCGAATGATTCAATGGCTCACTCAAAAATACTTCACTTGTTTCATTACTGGATGAATCAGCGTTGTTGAAAAAAATCTCTTGAATGAATGATTCGGTGACAAATTCATTTTTTAAACGTGGCGAAACAATGCAATCGACACAAACGTTATTTGAAGCGGCAGTTACTTTCAAAAGGGGATTTGCTCTCTTTTGATCGCTACCATAGACTTCAATGTTTATATCTGAACTATAAATCCTCGAATGCTTTTCGTGCCGAATTTTCACTTTCAGTGTGAAAAGGCCTTAACTTTCATCCCAGTATTTCTGTGATGATATGAATGACTGTAAGATAGTAATAATACTGTGTAATTGAAAAGACTTTTTGTGAAGCTGTTTCTTACCCAAACATGGTAACTGCTCTCTCTGTGTCAGCGGCAGCGCAAACGCAGATTTGAATGCTCCAGTTTTTCAAAGGTTTAATAAACACGAGCGAATCGTTGTCAATTAAAAATTTGGGATCGCATGGGTTTTTTGAGATCACGATCGTGCAGCCCTAGTCAAATAATTTCAAATATAGTGAACTGGTTACCTCACGTGAATATGTTCTTAGATTTGTGTTGGATGTTATCTTTGGAATGGAAATATTGATATTTTGTTTGTAAAACATCATACTTTCTTCACTTATTTCAGTTAATCTCATAAAACTAGCGAGCTAAGCCAGTAGTAGTACTGACAGTGTCGTGTAAACATGACTGAAGACACGAAAAGCGGAGGCACAGACAAACCTATTCAATTGAGTGAATCATTTACGCTGGAACCGCTCCGATTGATTCAAACTCGTGACTCCAATCATTCATTTCAAGCTATTCAAAAGAGCCATTCATTTAAAAATTTCAACATCGCTTGTACGTTTAGTGATGGGTGAAACGGAGCTTTTCGAAACTCTGAATCAGTTTGCGTCACACAATGATTCACTGTTTTGAAGCGCTCCAATCGGATCGTGAATCATTTAATTCAGATTGGGACTTTGATTTTGATTCAGGACAGGACTTCAGAGTGCTTTTTAATTTATTTATTTGTTTCAGATCATCGCGAATCATTTTGATTTAGATGGGAAGTCCCGTTCTGAAATGTTGGTTCGCGAATCATTATTCAGATTGGGACTACGGAGCGTGGATCGCGGATCATTTGGTGCGGGTTCGCGAATCATTTGTTTCAGAACGGGACTTTTGTGTGGGCTCGCAAATCTTTTGATTCAGATCGGGACTTCGGAGCGTGGATCTTTTTTTTTTTTAAACAGTACAAAACATCAAACCATTAAGGCAGTACAGTTATAAAAATAAAAGAAAGAAAGAATACACAAATACAAATCCTTTAAGAAAATTAACCATGGTTTTATTATAGTAAAAAGTGTTTTTTTTGTGTGTAACCACAGTTATACTGTAAATATCATGGTTAAACTATGGCAAACATGGAGACTTACACCGTGTCCTAGCTACACGCGCCGCGACACGCGATAAAAGGTATCTTTTCCATGTTAATTAGAGTTTTTGTCCTAACTAGCCACAACGGCGACACATGAAATTTGTATTTTAGAAACGGTTTCTATTTCTGCAAACTAATGACAGTGATTATCTCAGTTACAGATTATGTGCTTTATTCAAAGTTAAATGTGAGTTTTAATGTCATATTGCGTGGCATTTATAGCCATACTGAAAACAACAACAGATAGTTTACTTAATAAGATCTTGAAAATAAATAAAAGCAAAGATGTACGTTAAAACTGTGACTCACTGCGAACCGACAAGCATATTCCATAACAAAGATGGTATGTCACTCTGTATGTACATTTAATAATGTTAAAAAGGTTTAGTATTTATGAATTGGATTATAAACTTATCCATTTCGTTGTGAGTGCAGAGCGCTTCCAGAGAGAGCCAGCCCACTAACGCTTCTGATTTGCTGTGATATTTGATTGATTCTGTCGCGTTGCGTCTGGTGTTGACGTTTTGTTGTTATGGGGGGTGTCATAAAGCACAGCAGTAATCAGTGGTTATTTTTATATTTACTTGTATTTTATTTTTACAAAAAAGGAAAATTGCCTGAAAAGCAAAACAGTAATTGATTGTCAATAAACATGATTTGATCTCATATTTTGTCATTTTATTTCTTTTTCTCATTTGAAGGTCCTAAAATCAGCACAGAATATGTGTAAAAATCTGTCTGATCCTATAGTATTCCCTCGTGCTCCGTTCCTGCTGCTCTTCTTCAAGCTGAATATCTCCAATAAAGAGCAAGAATTCAGTTCAGCCCCTCAGCAGATTCTCTGCACTAATCTTACATGCGTTCACAGTCTTAATAAAAAGCCTCTTGCCCGCCTTAAACTCCTAAATGAAACGATTTAACCGTGCCTTTAGATTATCATTAATATATTCAGTTCTGTTTGAACGTATTAACTCGCTGCCTTTGTCACACTGAATTCCTCATTGCATCACTCTGTTCTTTTGTTTGGATGTTTTGAACACTTCAGGCTAAGACGGCTCTGGGAGACCATGTGACTAACGTCGGCCTGAACCGGGACAATGTGTCCGAGGTGCTGCAGATCTATATGGAAGCTCACTGTGGACAGACTGAACTGGCACCGCTGGCCGAGAGCTTGAAGACCAAAGCTTTCCAGGCCCACACGCCGTCTCAGAAAGCCTCCATGCTGGCCTTCCTGGGCAATGAGCTGTCCTGCAGCAAGAGTGTGGTCAGGTGCGCATCTCGCTTCATTAGCTCTGCATATTTACGGTGGAAGTGGAGTGGAAAACTGATGCTGCACTAGAGAATGGACCAGGCAAAATGTCCATATAAATTGTGCAATGGCAGAAATATATATACCGGTACTTTAAGGGCACTTTTCCTGCATTTTTTTAATTTTACCTTTCGTTTAGTGTGTAATATAGCTATTTGTGCATGTAATTGATCTGCAAAGTTAAAAAGTCAACACCAAAGGAAGTTGAACAGAAAACACTTGCCTGAAATGCCTTGTTTATAGTGCTGTCATTATTTATTTGACTTTGATACATCATGTTACACAGCATAATGCCCGCCCACTTGCTGAAGAATATGAAAAATGTGAAATATAGGTTTTTGTTTGTTTTTTGTTTTTTGCTTTCTTACTTTAAATCACATGAATGTTTTCTAGCAGACCCCAAACATAAAATTAAAACAAGAAGGAAAAAATATTTCTAAATTATACATATTAAAGTGCCTATGTTATGCTCCTTTGCAAGTCTAAATTAGCATAATACGGGCACTTTAATATTAACTTGTTTTAACTTGTCTTGTTAACAATCTTGTTTTAACCACAAACCTAATGTAATTTTATATAATGTAAAAATGTAATTTTTGTAATTTAAGGATTTTTATACAGTTTTTACCAAGCAAACAATGGTCGTTACAATATAATAACCATTTTTTCCTTAATATTTTCCAGTAAAACAATGTGTGCGCGTGTATATATATATATATATATGTGTGTAACAGAGAGGCAGTGGCGTTAGGATCCATGTGCAGCTTTATTAGTTCACAAGGCAGGTCATACAGGCATAAATCGTTAACTGGCGTTAGAAACAACGAAGGCTGGGCAGAATCGTAAACAGTGTTCGTAATAAGGGTCGAGGCAGGCGGCAGACAATCAATGGCATGAATCAACAAGGCAGGCAGGGTCAGAATAGGTAGGCAGCAAGCAATCGTAAACAGGTAAACAGTCCAGGTAATCAACAGGTATTCAACACAGGGAAAATGCTCAGAAATGTCTGCAAGGCAAAACAAGACTTCGCAATGAGAGCAGGGAAGGCACCGTTTAAATAGACCGGGCAATAGGAAACACCTGTGCAGGTGATTAGTCTCTGGCATGGGGCATTGTGGGAATTGGAGTCCGAAGGGATCGCTCTGTACTCCGGTGATGGTTCCCTCTGGTGGTGATCGGAGGGAGCCACAGAGGCTGAATTTGTGACAGTTCCCTTGTCCGATGGACTGCTCTCTGGAGATGAACATAGGTAGAGACCAGTCGACAATGGCTGGTACCTTCTTGTCGTCCATGGCCACCCCTCTTGAACTGATCACGTATCCGAGGAATGATACTGTCTCCTGATTGAAACTCACACTTCTCGGCTTTGGCATATAGCTGGTGGCTGATGAGACGTTGTAAGACCGCCCGGACCTGCTTGACATGATCCTCGTACGACTCTGAGTAAATTAGGATGTCGTCAATGTAAACAATGACCCAGCGATTTAACATGTCTCTGAACACATGATTGATGAAGGCCTGGAACACTGAAGGACTGTTGGCAAACCCGAAAGGCATAACATAATATTCGTAGTGTATAAATAAAATATACACACACATGCATGCATACACACATTGTTTTACTGGAAAATGCTAAAGGAAAAATGGTTATTATATTGTAACGACCATTGTTTGCTTAGTGTTTTTCCAGTAAAATAATATAAATTATATTATATTATTATAATATAAAAAAAGGTATCATGTGAGATGCATGCACAATATTTACATTTTCTTTGTCCTCTTTGCACAGTGAGATCGACAAAAACATTGACAGTATGACTAACCTGCGACGAGACAAATGGGTGATCGAGGGGAACTTACGGAAGTAAGACACTTGTTTACACATCACATAAACACACATACAGTATTTACTTACTGATCTTACTGTATATAATGCAAACACACATCACATTTCACTTAGTGGTCGCTAGTCTTCCCGTGGTCCATAATACACAGTTCACTATTTTGAATATAACAAATATAAAGATACACTATTGCAATTTCATTCACCTTGCATTTTGATATTCAACAATATTTTGCTGCCTTTGCACTGTGGGTTCCTTCAGAAAATGCCGATGTAGTTATAATTTGATTATGATACTCTGTTCAGCTAGATTGTAATGCATAATTTTTTGGGTTATTATTTTTCAGACTGAGAAGCATCTATGCTAAGAGGACGGGAAAGCGAGAGAGCAGCGTTGGAGGAGAGGAGGGTCAGTCCACCAGTACGCCTGCGAACAGCCGTAAACGCAAGCGCAAAGGAGGGGAGAGTGATGAAGATGATGAGGAAGATGATGACAGCGATGAACAGGGAGAGGAGGATGAGGATGAAGATGATTTTGGTGGGAAGAAAGGAAAAAAAGCAGAAGCATGTGATGATGAGGTAGAGTGCTTTTTTTTTTCTTTGGTGAAAAAAAATATAGAAATGAAAAAGAAAGCCAAAATATTAAATGCCATGCATGATTGTTTACAGAGTAATCCACTATTTTGTAGAGAGGGGGCTAAAATTGGCACCTGAGATTTGGATCCAAATTGCAGGGTGGGAAAATTTACTTTATAAAGATGCCACTCAGCATCATTGTTATTTATATTATATATGTTATTTTTTACACAGAGATTGGTAGGTCTGCTAGTAAAATCTGTTGACTTTAGCGATACTTGTTGCAATAAATACCAATGGTGACAGTCCAAAATTTGGAAAAAGCACTTTTTCCCCAAAGTTGGCATGCCTTTAACTCAAAAAGTATTAAAGATATCTTAATATCCTTGTAGATTTTGATTCTTGACAAAATTCTTTCAATATCCTCATTTTTATGGCCCTACATGGTTAATTCCCAGAGAGATGGAGATTTTGATGTGGCTTTGTGTACAGATTGTTGAATTTTACAATGGCTGAAGACCAAATGTGGTCACTTTGCATGTAGGTAATACTTATCTATTTATTTTCCTTCTTAATATTCAAAAATATTAGCTGGGGAAGTTTCTGAAATTTGATTGATTTGACACTGATAGTGTTGCTTTCGTCAACGAAAATTATGACTAAATATCGTCGTCAACGAACCTTTATCACGTGACGAAGACGAGACGCAACGTAAATGCTGGTCATGTGACGATGACTATAATTAAATGTATAATGCAATATTGTTGACGAATAAAAACGAGACTAAATGTGGTTTACAAAATAAAAACTATGCTAAAATGTCTCTTCATTTTCGTTGACCAAAACGAGACGAAACGAAATGTTATAACGTTATTAGACGAAAATAGTCATGGATAATTCTGACTTATTAGACTAAGACTAAAATGCTCAGACTTTTAGTTGACTAAAACTTGACTAGACTAAAAAGAGTATGAACGTGACTAAAACTAATAAAAACTAAAATGACAGCTTCACACAAAGACTAGACTAAAACTAAAATTAAAACAGGCCGCCAAAAACAACACTAGACACGGAAAGACCCTAATGTACAGTATGTGTTCAAAATGCATTCATCTGACATTAGATTTTCAGTCATTTTTTTAGTTTAGTTTTAGTAATGGTCTCTTTTTTGCACTGAGAAGGAGGTTTTGAGCTCTAAAAGTTGTTTGCTATGTTTTTATGGAACGAAAACTAATTTCTCAAAAGAAAATTGAACTCGTCATGATGTTTTAGCAGCATGTCAGCAGTTCTTGGTCTTGTTTTGCAGGATGAAGGTGATCAAATCACAAGCATTGAGGAGCTGGAGAGACAGATTGAGAAGCTCAGCAAGGTAAATGAACATCAGATTTTGGATCTTAAACATGTTTTTGTCAAGTATCCTATTTAATACATCAGGCTTTTGTGGCTCATATAGGATGAAATACTGAGAATATGGAGGAAAAAACAGCTCAGTTTTATTGAGAGGCCCAAACTGAGCAAAAATAGCAATTTTGTGAAGATGCTGATATTTATATGGCCAAAAAGCAAGATTAAATTCTGATGCTTGTACCGTAAATCGATGAGATCTTTATAACAGTATAGCAGAATACTTGCATAAAATGATATAAATATCATTTAGATGCCTTCGAAAGGTCTGTATGAATAAATCTAACAGTCAGTCCTTTTCTTAGTGACTGTATGTTATTACATCAGCGCAAAATGCATAACCAACCAAACAATGCATAAGAGATATAGAACAAAAATCTTGTTATTGTATGTCATCTGTAGAGGACATCAGGAATCAGTTATTAAGAAAATGAAGGCAAGACACCACAGGCAAAATCTCATTAAATTCATTAAAAACAAACGTCCTCTATAGAGGACAAAAAGGAATAGCTGGCTCCCAGGAGGATAACATGCCTATACTTGCTTTAACTAAATGTATTCTGCTGAATGTGTGGCGATATGACAGATTCATTACTTGTCCACTTGCATATTTCCAAACATTTTTAATAAAGAAAGATAAAGTAGAATACATCTGTCTTATTGATTCTCTTCCAGCAACAGACTCAGATCCGTCGGAAGCTGTTCGAGGCCTCTCATTCCCTGCGCTCCGTGATGTTCGGTCAGGACCGTTATAAGCGACGCTACTGGGTTCTGCCGCAGTGTGGCGGGATCTTTGTGGAGGGACTGGAGAGCGGAGAGGGTGAGAGAATGAGGCTGAATAAGATCATAATGTGAAGACAAAGGCATCTTCTGAAGGAAGGATCGGTCAAGATTACAGGATATGACAGAAACCGGGTTGAATGTTTTAAACCGAAAAAGATAGTGTTGCTGTATTAAAGCAATAGTTGAGAAAAATTCTATTCTTTCATGATTTACTCACTCCAAATCTAGTTGAATTGCCTATAAAAACTATACAATACTTTTTTTAAACTTTTTTTAAGCTTTCAAACAAGACTGTCAAGCCATCATTTAGAGCAGGGTTCCTCAATTAGTTTTCGCCGAGGGCTGAATTCTGCCAACAATACCAAGCCAAGGGCCACTGACCTATATATATATATATATCATCACAGAAATAAATTACATTTTAAAGTATATTCAAATAAGAAAACTTTCTTTTAAATTGTAATATTATTATACAATATTACTGTTTTTTTGTACTGTATTTTTGATCAAACAAATGCTGCCTTGGTGTGCAGTAGAGACTTTTTTATAAAAAAATAAAATAAAAAAAAGCCTAATTATTCCAAACTTTTGACTGGTAGTTTATATATACACATATATAATATATAAATAATATACAAGTAATATTATGGTATATAAGAAAAATATAAGCAATACTTATATTAATTGATATAAAATATTTTTATTATTTACTTCTTTTAATTTTCAGGGAATATGACCATGACTACTAGACTTTTTTTTAATTTTTTTTTAACATGGTCAGTTATTTTATTGAAACAAACCTTTGTATAAATGTGCTGCTGCTGATGATGATGATGATATATTGTGCTCCTTCAGGTCCTGAGGAATTGCAGAGAGAGCGTGAGAGGACAAAGAACGCTCACCTCGTCCAGGTCAAAGAGGAACCTGATGAAAAATACGGCACCGCTGAGAGGAAACAAGAACCTCCGCAGGATGTAGATTCTCTCAACCTCTTCCTGCAGAAACCGGATTCTTTCTCCAAGCTCAACAAGCTGTTGGAAGTGGCTAAGATGTCTTCTGAGGTCTCTTGTCACCAATACAGCAGCCCAAAACAGCAGACTACATTACGCAGAACACCTAACCATGTTGTTAAACCTGATCTCAGTGATTCTTGTCTCCTCAACAACACCTACCTCACTAATGCCCAACAGCAGATCTGTAGCGAGCAGCTTTATAAGGTTCTGACAGAGAGAAACGCTCACTGGTTCAGTCTGCTGCCTCGCTCTCCATGTGATGTCTCGTCTCTGACTGAAGGTCCACATTCAGCATCATCTTCCTCACCACAGACCACAGCGGTCTCTGCCGACCCCTACAGCGCTGCGCGGATCAATAACTTTTCATTAGCAGCACTGCAGGTATGATCGTGTAGACCAGGGATTTTTTTATTTTGTCAGACAAACCCCTTAAACGTAAAATGGTTATTTAAAACCCTCCTGAGATTTTAGGTTTATATTCCATAATTTAACATCACATTTGCATTTCCATGGTTCTCGGATGTTGATTAATGGTCACATGACATGCAAGTAAACAGATAAAATATTAAATTTTTTTAGCAAGTGTGTTTATTTTAAATGTATTTATATATCATTATATATATGGGTACACCTATATAAGGCTTTATTATTATTATTATTATAATAATTAAAAGTATTATTATTATTTTATTGTTATCTTG